TTTACTTGTACTTGAATATTTCCATGTTTTTCCTTCAACAGATTCTCAAAATGTCAACTCACCGTCAGTGCACAGTGGAGATTCAGAACTTGACATCCGGCTTCACGCTGTGTGATCCGTGGTGAGTTTTAAAACAGACACACTCTCACAATTGGAAACCTGAACCACACAGAGGGTTGATGTGGATGTAATGTAGATGTAGACCATTAAACTCTGTGCAGCAGCTTGTTATTCAGTGAAGTTAAAACGTTTGTGTTTCTGTCCAGCTTGTTTCTGTACAGTGGGGGCTGTGAGACTCCTCTCCCTCCAGATCTTGGTCCATCTATGTCTGGCACTGCACTCTTTGAAAAGACACCCAACACGGCCTGTGGTTCAGTAGGGGTCTTCACCTATGACATCCTCCCGGGCTCCAACAGTCAGAACAAAGGCCGAGTGGCTGTCATGTTCTCGAATCCCTACGACTTCAACTTCTACTCCAACTATTATGCCATTGGAGTATTCAGCAAAGACAAGAAGTGTGACAACGATCTCTACAATGAGATGTACAGCGGCAAGGAGATTGACTTTGTCAGGGGGAAAGCCAGTGGGCCCAGTCTGACCTACAAAGCGGGCGATTTGATTATCAGGGCCAGCATGTCTGACAGCTATCAGCCGACCCTGAAGTTGGATATTTGTGACATATGAGACCAGCTGCATCTCCTGGTCCAATACCTCTTTAACAGCTCAACACCTTCCTATTTGGCCAGTAGCTTTTCCTTTAATAGAGTAACCCTCATTAACTTTATCTGCTTCTGCATTAATAGAGCAATCTCTTTACCAGTTTAGATATTGTAAACTAGTTACCCTGCAGCATGTTTTATTTAATCTGCAGTCATTCAAGACTTCTCTGTTGAAAAACCCAACATATGTTCATATCTTTTAATAATTAGTCTACTACAACATGTTCCTAAGTGGGAGAGAGAGAAAAAAAACTAACTTAAATGTTCCTCTGAATCTTTAAAACTCCCAACTGATCCAGTCTTCCTGTGAACTCCCCCAGGTAGTTCTTAATTAGCATTACAATATGGGAAAGGGATATATCGGTTGCGTTTTGGGCTGATTTAAACATCAGCACCGATGTGGACGGATTAGATTCACAACTGAAAGAGTTAATAAAAACAAGCTGAAAAGAAATCTGTTTGTTATGGGATATTAGACGGAATAAACATCATTGCATAAGGTAATTCAAGTTCTGCTGTACTGATTAAGTTCATGTTTTTAGATGAATATGTTTCAGAAATACTCTGTGATTCTGACCAATGACTGAGCATCACTGAACACAGATACCATGAAGAGATCTGATGGTCCTGATGCCTCACAGCTGCTGTTACAATCTGAATGTTCTGACCCAATAAAATTTGAGCTTTAATATGTTCTACTGGTGTCTGTTGGTCTCACTGTGTTCCACCTGTTTCACTTTCTCATGCTCTATAACTGTCTCACACTGGACCCAACCTGTGGTCAGAAAGGTTAGATTCATTTCCATTTAGATTTCATTTCCAATTTATATAAATATATATATA